GGAGGGCCCCAGGGGGCCCCCCTGAGGGCCCCCTTCGGGCCCCTCAGGGGGGCCCCCTAGGGGCTTCCGAAGGGCCCTACGGTCCCCAAAAAGGGGGTCCGGGGGCCCCCAGTCTCCTCCTTGCTGCTGCTTCTTTTAGGGGTTCCAGAGGGGGTTTGGCCGCAGCGGCGAGGGGGCCCCCGGAAGGCACTGCTGGGGGGCCCCCAGGGCCTCCTAAGGGCCCCCAGAGGGCGTGCTGGGGGGCCCCCAGGGGCACAAGGGGGGCCCCTAGGGGCCCCCATCTACTCCTGTTACGACGGGGACCCCATGGGGACCCTCAGGGGGCCCCCCGAGACTCAAATCCCGCTTGTCTTTACTGTATCCGCTGGGGGGCCCCTCCGGGGCCCCTGGGGGGCCCCTGGGGGGCCCCCGTGTCCACTCCTACACCTCGGTGGCGCTGAACCCTGGGGATCTAGGGTTTAGGGTTTAGGGTTTTATAAGCCCTTTTTTTTCACTGCAAAGAAGAGTTGTTTTTCTATATAGCATTTTTTGGTTAAGAGATATCTGTTTTTTGTTCAGTTTTGAGGTGTGCGTACACCCCAGCAGTTCAGGTGCCGCTTCCTTCAGGGGCTCCGGCCGAACTGATCACTGCAATCATAATTATAATTGTAATTGAAATCGTAATTATAATTATTTTATTTTTATTATCATCCTCGTCTTTATTTTAAATGTAAACATTAGCAGTCCGATTAACTGCTCCAGTTCTTTGTGTTGGCTGGCACTGGGCTTCATGGTGTAGGGTTTAGGGTTTGGGGTTTAGGGTTTGGGTAATTCTGTCTTGAAAACCTCCACAAAAAAAGGTGTTCTCCTCTAATTCGTCTCGCGGCGACCAGCTGCAGAGACAGCAGCAGCAGCAGCAGCGGTAGCAGCAGCAGCAACAACAGCAACAGCAGCAGCAGCAGCAACAGCAGCAGAGATGCGAGATAATGAGAGCAGCAGGGAAACGCAAAAGGGGGCAATTAGCAGCACAAAAGACGAGAGTGACTACGGGGGGGACAGACCAAATAAACTAAATTAAATTAAAATTAAATTAAATTTAATTAATTTAAATTAAATTAAAATAAAGAAAATAAATAAATAATTAAAAGGACATCACCTGTGTACTCCAGCCTTTCTGCTTGAAGTCACCCACAATTTCCTCGGGCTCGTTTCGGCGCTCCAGCAGCTGCAAAATAAATAAATAAATTAATAAATTAAAAATAAAATAAAATATAAAATAAGTAGATAAAATAACTAAATAGTCAGGTGGGTAAATAAACAACAAGTGATGAAATAATAGAGAGGAAGAATTTATCTTTTTGTATCCCCCTGTTTTGTCTTTATATTTTTTCCTCCTTTTTTTTCATTTTTCTTTGCTTGTCCTTTTTATCTTTTTACTTTTTTGTGTTTTTGTTTGTCCTGTTTATCTCTTTGTTTATTTCTTTTTCCTTCATTCCTTTTTGATTTCTTTTATATCTTGCCTTTTATTTATTTTTTTTGTTTTCTTCTTTTGTCTTTAAACTCACCAAATACAAAATTCCCTTCGGGCTCAAAAAGTCCTTGAGAGACAAAAGACGGTCGCAGCCACAAAAAGAGTTTAGGGTTTAGGGTTTAGAGCTTGGAGTTTAGGGTTTAGGGTATGGGGTGTAGGAAGATGGGAATTTTTCGCAATTTGATTTTTATTGCACTAATACAGAGGGTCTGGGGTTTAGGGGTTCTCAGGGAGGGTTAAAGGGGCGTGAAAAGAAGCGAGGGTTTAGGGTTTAGGGTTTGTGGATTAGGGTTTAGGGTTTGGGGTATAAAAACGTGGGAATTTTTCGCAATTCGATTTTTCATGCACTGGTAAGGAGGGTTTAGGGTTTAGGGTTTCGTGAGGAAGGTTAAAGGGGCCTGAAAAGAACCGAGGGTTTAGGGTTTAGGGTTTGGGGTTCGGGGTTTAGGGTTTGGCCCACCGGTACTTTTGCCAAAAACTTGTCTGTCACTGCGCGGCCGCGGCAGCCGCCCCACCAGGGCAGATCTGCGGGGGCCACTTTGGCCCGGGGGCTCCCGGGAACGTAGGGCTAAAACAAAAGAAACGAAAGGGGGAAAAGGAGGGAAAACGATAAATGAAGTTAAAATGGATTTATAAATAAATGCAGCTCATTTGGGAGATTAAAATGCAGAAAAAATGAAGCAAAAAGACCCCAAATTGACCCCAAAAGTGACAAAAAGGAGGAAAAAAATCAAGTGGAGCGCAGAAAACAAATTCAATGGAATAAAGAAAAAGAAAAAGAAATAAAAGAGAAATAAAAAGAAATAAAAAGAAATAAAAAGAAATGAATAGAAATGGAAATAAAAAAATAAATAAAAACAAATGAAAAGAAATAAAAAAGGAAATAAAAAAGAAATACAAGAAAGACAAATGAAATAAAGAAAGAACGAAATGAAATAAATGTTTTTCGAAAACTGATGCAAAACACGGGAAAGTCCCAAAACTCAAAAAGGAATAAAAGAGCAGCGATAAACCCTAGGGTTTAGACCCTAGGGTTTGCCAGGGTTTATAAGCTAGGGTGTAGTGGCTAGGGTTTAGACCCTAGGGTTTAGTGGCTAGGATTTCGACCCTAGGGTATAGTGGCTAGGGTTTAGACCCTAGGGTTTAGTGGCTAGGGTTTAGACCCTAGGGTTTAGTAGTTTACGGTTTGGTAAGTAGGGTTTATAAGCTAGGGTTTACAGGCTAGGGTTTAGTTGTTAGGGTTTAGTGGCTAGGGTTTATTAGTTAGGGTTTATTAGCTAGGGCTTTTGAGCTAGGGTTTATAAGTTAGGGTTTAGAGTCTAGGGTTTAGAGTCTAGGGTTTAGAGTCTAGGGTTTACTGGCTAGGGTTTAGAGGCTGACAGGATTGAAGAGAATCAAATCGAAAAATGCCTCTCTCTGTGCCGCCTCCTTAACATCCCCTTCCCCTCCGCTGCTGCTGCTGCTGCTGCTGCCGCTGCTGCTGCTGCTGCCGCTGCTGCTGCTGCTGCTGCTGCTGCTGCTGGCTGTGGGGCCCCTGAAGGCGGTGAAGAGGTTTGCCTGGAGAACCTCCTGCTGCCCTCTGCAGCAATTAAATTCAAAAGTTCTTTTTGTTGATTTTGCTGCAGCGTTTTGCAAATCCACTCCAAAGACTACCGGCAACAAACACGAACAAACTGAGGGGGCCCCCACAGGCTCTTTGGGGGCCCCTACAGGGTCTTGTGGGGCCCCCACAGGGTCTTTGGGGGCCCCCACAGGGTCTTTGGGGGCCCCTACAGGGCCTTCTGGGGCCCCTACAGGGTCTTGTGGGGGCCCCACAGGGTCTTTGGGGGCCCCTACAAGCTCTTTGGGGGCCCCCACAGGGTCTTTGGGGGCCCCCACAGTCTCTTTGGGGGCCCCCGAATGGTCTTTAGGGGCCGCTAGCGGGTCTTGTGGGGCCTCTTCAGGGTTTTTGGGGGCCCCCAAAGACCTTCTAGGGGTCCCCAAAGGGCCTCCAGGGGCCCCCTGGTACCCTGGGGGGCCCCCCTGGTACCCTGGGGGGCCCCCTGTGTGTTGGCAGCGGTTTAGCAGCGAAGAAAGAATGGCCGTGACGCATCCGCTGCCGCACCTAACAAATAAATAAGCAAATAAATAAATAAATAAATAAATAAATAAATAACAAATGGTAATAAAAGGTGGATAATTGATTGTATTAAGTGGAGGAGAAGGGGCCGAGAAAAACCAATATACAAACTGCAGAAGTGCAACAGGCTGCATTAGAAAACCTAAACCCAAAACCCTAAACCCTAAACCCTAAACCCTAA